ATAGCTCTCAGGTCTTTCCCGCGCGCGTTTTCCGGAGAAAGGCCACTCAGTAAATAGTTAGATGAGTCCGATGTCTTGCTACAAATCCCAGACCTTTGCGGAGCCACTAGTAGCGTCCCTGCTCCTAGTAGCGATGCCCTTTGTTATTGGTAGCCTCTTGTTCCTAGTAGTAAGGCCAGGAGCTACTAGTAGCGTCACTGTTGTGCAGTACTTGTGCAGTCTGCTTTCCTTGACTCTCTGACTGTCATAGCACTTTGCAGCCACCCGCAAGCAACCCTGGGCTTTTGGCCAGGACGCGAGCGTGGAAAAGGCTGCTGTGTGGGTGAGCTGAGGGCCTGAAACTGCAAGGTGCCGAAATGTTGCCAGCTTGCCAGGTATCTGGAGTCATGCAGCCACTGCTCTTGAACAAAAGTAACAAAAGAACTGGTTCAACTCTGAATTTGACTCACTCCTTTCACTGAATCAATGTCCACCTAGTCAGCAGTACGCTCAATTGTTCAACATGCACAAGGTGCAAGCGTGGGTGCGCACCCAGTGCCAAGTTCTTTGGCTACATTTGCACCTCAGTCCAGGCAAGGGGTAAAAGAAACCCAGCAAGCAAAAGAAGGATTAGTAAAGTAATAGTTATGCAAGTTGACCGGGCACACTTGTTTGTTGGACCAGCACTCCACACTTTCAAATATTCCCACCTGTGCAGTCAAATGCACCACCTGTCACCGCACCTAGTCCACACTCGGGCGTGAAGGCACCATACCTGGCGAATGGTTCTCCACAACGTTCATGGCCTCCAACCTAATAGCGGTTGCCTCCAACCTAGTAGCAATGGCAATGGCCTCCAACCTCTAACCTAATAGCGATGGCCTCCAACTAATAGCATTCATGGATACGCTATGGCGCAAGTCATTCTCAGGGTCTCATGATGATCTGATGGAGTCTTCACTCAGCTTCCCACGGGGCTTGCTTTGAAGGACCCACAGGTGAAGCAAGACGGCGAGCTTTGTTGAGCAAAGTCGCTGCCTCCAAGAGCTTTAAAGGAAACATGTATATAACGATATTATACAATAAATCAGACTAGCATGAATTATGAGGAAATACACGTGCAAGCAAGTCAAAAAGAGTTATGAAACCAACCCCGAAAGGAAACACACGCACAAATAAATAAATAAATAAGTGTGTATATATATATATATTGGTGTCCAACGGGTGTCCAGTGTCCAGCAACTGCACCAATAATTCCACAAAATACACGTGATTCCTAGCTGCTAGTTTCCACGCCTTAAGAATTAGAAGGCACAGTGGCGCCTGCAGCTGCTGGTGTGCAACATTCGCAGCCACCGCCAGCGATACAGCACCTGTATTCGCAGGTGACTCTCGAAACCCGCAGGCAAAGGGACCAGCTTTTTGGTCATTCTTTTTTGCAAGCGTTTCGGGTGCATTACTTTTGAGTCATCAAGCTTCTTGGCCAGCAAGGGTGATCTCATTTGCCGATGTTCTGTCTATATAGTTCTGTAGCATTATTATCCAAGTCCAGCAGTCCAGCATTTTACCAAAACAAGTGCTTTATGGTCCATGACAATAACAACGGAATCCAATCTACGGAGCTATGATTGAAATCCCCCAAGCAATGTTGAATCATATCGTCTTACAATCCTCTGAGTCCAATTCAATGTCTTACCGTCCCCACCTGAACTCTGCGGAACGATCCCCTGGCGGAGATCAAAAGGGGAAATCGGTGGCATGGTGGAGATGCCCCACTTGAATGACCGTGTATGGCTGGGTGATCCAGCCATGGCACTGGGCTTTGTGAGATCGGCGCAATTGTCTTGAAGCTATATGTCGGGGGGGAAGATTACAGTGCCAGATACATTGGTGTTCACCCATGGACATAGCTAGATTTGACACACAAACACACATAGAAAGTCTGTAGAATAGTAGCACCTGCTCTTTGTGGAGTCGGCACGACGTGATCTCCACAACGCAAGATCTACATTTTGTGGCAGCAAATTGACAATCGAGATGAGACCAGCTACCGAAGCGGGCACTTAGTGGGACACAGGCTGAAACCAGTTCCACGATTATGTATGTACATATAGGAAACATATGGCTGTGGGTCAAAACCGGGGGACCCTGGTTGACCAGCGAACATGAACAGAATAGACCACCAGGGATTGGGGCTCCAGGTCTTGACTCACTATACACGTATTAAATATTTTTAGTTATATATATATATATAAATATAAAGTAGTAACAGTTGACGGCCCATAAAAATCACACCAGCCAAACAGCAGCGGCAGTCGGAATTTTCTTCTGAAACTCGCACTTCCACACAGGCAGCCATTGAGATGATTTTTTTTGCAGTTTCTGGGCTGAGATGATTTTGCTTTGTCTCCCTTTGTCTCCCCTTGCCTCCCATGGCACGTCTGGATGCTGGGCTCAGATGATTTGCTTTGTCTCCCTTCGTCTCCCCTTGTCTCCCATGGCGTGTCTTGATGCTGGGCTGCGATCACTTTGCTTTGTCTCCCTTCGTCTCCCCTT